GCCATTTCCATAAACTGGTTTTTTAATCCGATTAACCTTGTAACATTCGTCTCTGAAATTTCATAATTTTGAAGTGATATTCGTAAAACTAACATCTCAATAAACCAGAAGCTTTTCTTATACGATAAAAAAACCGGACACAAAAAGTGTACAATAACCAAGTATCTTAACTTAACAAAGGACAGAAAAAGCAAGAATCCATTTGAAATTCATTACAAACTCCGAATGCATAATACAATGTAGGTATTTATTTATGCACAACATTAACGAGAAAACAAATTCTATTTATTGTAACATCAGAATAAAAAGTTCCCTTTTGCCATGACCTTTAAAACGTGAAAAATTTCTAGAAGAATTTTTTAAATAGTTTCAAATATCCAAAAAAAATGGCTTTCAGGGTAAGTATATCAGAAGCAATAGCTAATAGGGAGGCATTGAGAAGTCATGTTAATTCATATTTTAGAGGAAAATATGTCCTACGAAGTGCGCCTCGATGCGCCAAATAATTTCTTGATACAAGTAGCAAACAGGAAAGGGCTGGAAATGAAGGGGCTGCTCTTATACTTTTCCTTAGCCGAGAAGATGAACGCAGGAGCTCCGAGATATTTTACTGAAACAAAGCTCCGCGCACAACACCCCCCCTTCCCCCACCCCAGCCTTCTCTGTCACTCACCTTTTTCTGTCGCAGCAGAGAGCTGCGCGAGTTTTTTTTTTATCGATAAAAAGACTATCTCAGCTTCGGTATTATGCTTCTTTGGAATTATTGCTGACAAACGTCGGACAGGCGTAAATGTGCACGTATCGTGGCGCTTTTCATCTGAAAATGTGAATGATAAATGCACGCGACGGTTCATCTCCGGCGGAAAAAATCGTCAAATAAGTTTCCAAGCCGTAGCTTTGGTCGACTTCTTAATCCCGCGCGCATTTTACGCTCGCTCCTCTTTTCAATTACTCGATCCTCATCCTTTCGGATATTTATCCACTTACAATGTACATTGGTGGTTCATAAACTAAATCCAATGGAGGAGTATTAAACACGATAAACACCTGAAATTTTTGTCGGAACTGAAGTGAAACTTGTCACTACAAAGTGAAACCTAATCCTAAAACCTGTGTTATATCTATTCTTCAGAAATCGAACATTACAAATTCTGTCAATGATCACTAAATTAATAACCACTATATTAGTTGACTGCAAAAAAGTACACTTGATCGTAACTAGAAGAATTTCCAAAATTTACATTTCATTGCTGGTCCAAAAAATTGTACAATTAGTACAACTATAATAAGAATAGTATCACTTCATTTGCATCATCAGAAGTCTCCAAATATAAACTGTCATATTACCATAACATCTATAATCTTTACAATCCCTTATTCACAGTAAAAGCGGACGAATCCCAAGCTACCCTCTGCAACCCCCTGTACCTGATAGCTTCCAAGTTCCCCAATCGAAAACAATTTTCGTCTCCTCGAAGACAACAGGCTCAAAGAAGCGGGATCACGGGAACCAGAAGATATAGGATGTCCAAGACCAAGACCATGAAGTAGAATGAATAGGTAGATAGGCCAGAAAGAGGATAGAGGGGGGCGAAGGAAGAGCCCCGTTTCGGGAAATAGCTCAATTTCGAGCGTGGATCCGAGCACGGGGTTCCGTGAGTCTTTCGAAAAAAAATTCCCTCCGACACTATCGGGAACACTCGCCGCCGGAGATCAGGAGTTTCCACACCCTTTCTGTCTTCGTTCAGGCTGAGCCTCCCCCGCCACTGGGGTCCCGGCCACCACCATCGACACCGCGAATGCCGCCGCGCCACCACCTTTTCTCAAGTGGAATTGGCGGTGTTGAGCGTCGCGAGATGGAGCCAGGGAGAGTCGACCTTATGCTGGACGGCGTTAAGGGCGTGTTTCCTGTGTCGGCCGCGGACGGGTTGAGTGATAAATCGATTTACGTCCTGGCCAATGAGGGTTGAAAGTGGCGCTACCTGATTGGCCCGCGCCTAGACCACGCCCACTTCGTTAGCAAAGGTTCTGGCCGAAAGCCGGTTTCACCACGCCACAATTCCTACTAGAATGATGATCTTCGTGTTACTTGGAGACTGACGAATCAGTTGAAGCATAATACTTATTATTATTGATGGAAAATAAATGATTATGTAAATTCACACTTTTGTTGTAATTCTTTTTTTTGTAACCCTTTACAGTAATTCTATTTTTCGTTCAGTGATTTGTCAGGGTGAATGTAAGATGAAAGTTTGATCACTTCCTCTATGAAGATTTTTCTTATCTTGACTTTCTGCTTGGAGTAGAGATATTCACACTGCATTTTTAATAGAAACAATTTTGCTGTGTATTTTAAAATTTACAATCTTTGGTCCGCTTTGATACGCGACTATTGTAAAATATTCTATCTCATTTTGCTGGTATCTGTCCTATCACCAAGACATTGCTAAAGACATAACAACCATATCGCCCACTTTCTCCATCTATACAACTGTTTTCCCCAAGAATCCCACAAAACTACATCCGACAACGTTAACCAACAATCACATATCAGCCTAAAAAGCATCGATAGACGAACCCAAAACACACCACCCTCGAACTCACCGATCAAAAATCCCCATCAACAGGCAGTTCAGACCATAATATCAACCAACAGAATCAACCGTTCTCGGGATCACCTCCCGAGGCTCAATATACACGCTTTTTCCCCATAGTGAACCGGTCTCTCGTAGGCGTAGCCGTGCGAGGCGTCGACATCGGTAGACCCCACCTTCCGACGGTAAATAGGGCTATGTCTACCCGGCTGGCCGTCTCAAAAAACCGACCAATCCGCGATGCGAGACGGCCACTGTCGGCGCGCAAAGTAGCGGAGGCGCCTTTGTCGCGAGGGGTTCGACGAGTGCGGAAAAGAAGGGCCGGTGTGGTGGGGTTGCGTGTGCATCGGGACAGAAAGGGAGGGCAGGCGGTGACGATAGGGGAGGGGATCGTTGGGGTTGGAGGGGCGGGGGAGGAGGCAACAAGGCGGTGTGTCGGAGGGGGTGTGTGGGTTGGGTAAACGCCACCCTCCGTGGCGGGGTGTGTGCGTGTGTATGTGTGTATATGTGCACGTGCGTGTGGGTGCGTGTTACGCCGCGCAACCGCCCCCGGGGGTTTCCCTTCTTCGTTGGTCGTCGCGCAATCGAGCAACCCCGTGCTGCTCGACAGCTCAGTTGCCCATCGCCGCGACGACGACACGGTTGCGCCACGACAACGACGACAGACAGACGTCATCGTATCCCGGTACACAACCCTCCGACACGCCGTTTCTATCATCCCGTCGTCCAACCCGAGAGTACAGAGACGGTGTTAGACAAGTAGCCGGAGTAGGTGGGAGATCTTCCGACGATCGGTGCCCACGCGGTTCAGTACTGGTCCGATCATCGAATGAACCGGGAAAAAGATACTGTCGCTGTCCGTGAGTTGGCTACCGTGAATCCGACGGATACGGTGACGTGCATGGACAAACGGAGTTTCTGTGGTGTTCGGTATCTGTACGAAGAACCGAGAAGAGAACGAGACTCAGTGAAAGGGGATGATCGCCGGATGCTGGGTTAGCCGATGAGGTTGTTGTTTCGAGAAAGGGTCCGTCGCCTAGACTACGTGGACCGCGGCCTCACCTAGGCCTCTGGCACCAGTGAGTTTCTGGTCCGGTAGAGGAAATAGCCGAGGAAGACCACTCTGTTGTCCCTGAAATTCGATCCTCCAGCCGCGAGGAGAATGAAAGGACGCGGTTCTACGAATCTCCACGCGCATCGCTGAGCCACAGGGGCGAGAGAGAGAGAGAGAGAGTTTTGTTCAGTGAATGAGCCCATCACACACGTGCTATCGGGACACCTGAATAGAATTCCTGGACATAGATAAATGTTCTGATTGTCGTTGAGCGAGTTAGCTGGGCTTGGGCAACACTCCGCCGCGGTGTACGGACCGAGAAACGAAAGGAACGCGGGAATCTGTACCTGATCACAACGAAAAACTTCCATTCAACGAACAGACCGTGACGAAAGTGCGACGTGTCGAACCCGCGTAGTTGGTAGACATTTAGATTGTGTTTAAAGTGTAAGAGGATACGAAGGGGGTGTTTGGTTACTCGAGGAAGAGGAGAGAGCCGATTCGTTTCCCGGAGTCGCCGCTCGCGTTGCCGTCGCTCGCTGACAGCTATCCCGGGGGCCACCAACGCTTTGCCACGGAACGCAAGCCTCTGCTTTTACAACGAAGATTAATCGAAAGCACAACACAGTAAGCTCTACATTAAGCCCTGACGCTTAACAAAATATTCTCCCATTTCGAGACACGTTTTTCAGTGATGGAGATCTATGAAAACACTTAGGACCGACGGCGGGGTCCAACGAACTATATCAGATTTCTTCCCGTGCAAAGTATTCGTATATTTTTTAAACATAATTGGACTGCTCGAATAAAAGTCGCTCTGTAGCGGGCCTATAGTACCGATTCGAATCTAGATACCCTGAAGTCAAGAAGAGTATCCGAAACCCGATGCTACCGCTAGTCGCAAACCGTCGGATGCGCGCGTAAACGTTATGCCAGTGTCGAGCCACGACGAAAGCTTCGTTCCATTCCGTATTCGTATCTGCTCGTAACCAGAAATCGAATCCTCGATCACTGATGGTCTCCAGACATCGAACTCCACGAATCGATCAACGAAAATACAGTCTCATCATCTTCGAGGACTCCGAACGACGCAGCAACACCGCCGCAACATAGTTCCTAAGAAACGTGATCCGTAGGACTGGACGAGCAACGATTACGAACCTGCGTCTGTCATTCGATCGCGGTACAACGATCCACGCAAATAAAATAATCTTCCCAGGTGACCGATCAAGATGATGATCCGTTAGCTACCTGGTTACCTTTCGACGCGTTCGAACGGAGAGAATTCGCGTGATCTCTCGCGTGGAGAATGACATTTTGAGCCGGTGATATAGTCGTGAAATAGTACAAAGATGCCGCAGCGATCGCCGTTCGCGATCCAGGAGCTGCTGGGCCTGAATGGGGCCGGAAACGGGAACGGTACCGATCGGGGCTCGCCCCAAGCCTCGCCGCCGGCCGGCATATCCGCGGTCTCGTACGCGCCAACGGCGCCCCATCACAAGCTATGGGACTACATGCCCAGCCTGACGAATCATCTGGGCAATCTCGGGAATCTTGGAAATCTCGGAAACCTGACGGCCTCGCGGATGGCCTACCTGAATGCGCAGGCGGCCGTCGCGGCTGCCTTCTTGCCGCCGCCCCATCCCCACCCCGCCCACCACGTACCCCATCATCAGGTACATCAACCGGGACAGCTTCCGGCCTCGCCGGCCGGCGTCAACGTGCATCCGGCCGCACACGCGCAGCACGTACTTCCGGGCACCGCTGTCACCGCGAATCATCATCAGCACAGCCCGACGACTCAGCACACGCCACCCCATGGTGAGTTGATATTTTGATGACTTCTTTTGTAATTGGGTCGGTTCGTTCGATGGGTAATGGCTAACTCGTGGCTTTCTGGCTGCCTGGAACAGAGGATATTAGTAGAATTGTAGGCAGCCTTAACGTTTGACATAGGTAGACGTAATATGTGGAGCTACCCTGATGTTAACCTGAAGTCATGTTATCAGAGTTCTGGGAGGACTGTTGTGGGTTTGGATGGCGGGGTTTAGAGAAAAATGGTAAACGTAGTATATGGTACTGTTTCGAGGTAGAAAACAGTGTTATTGTCTTTATTATACCGTGGGTACTTTTTTTATAAAATTTGGGAGTATTTGAATCAGTAAGTGATTCGAATGTATTGTTAATAATTCCTTTAGGTTTGAATAAGCTTTCGTGAATATACTGACCAAGTGTTGAAGGTTATGGATTGGGTACAGAAAGCCCGATGGTACTTCAGATCTGTATATTTCAAGTGCAAATAAGTAGTGTCGCAATGCATTAAGTATGTCAAGGGTTTACACAGAAGGAGCATTTAAATTTACTTGATTGAGAATATACATTACTCATCGAACGACATTAAACGACAAGTAGTTCTTGATCTGTTAGTAAATATGTGGATTAATTATACTACTCACTACATCACTATGGTTCTAACACGAAAAACGCTCCGCTGTCACGCATACCCAAGTCGAATGTTTTTCGGTTGACGTTGTTTCTAGCATTGGGATTGAGTTCAACACTCAGGGCGTGAAACTGAGAGAAGCGTTCAATCCTTTCCTTTCAGTCCAAGGACAATCCGAGTCCTTTTCAGAGCTAGGCATTGAACGCTTCCTGTTTGTGCGTGGAACTAAAACGGTACACTTTGAAAAATTATTTCGTTGGAAGGTGTTTCCAAATTAGTCACGATGAACGACGATGCATTAAAATACCAACTCTATCACCAGAAATACTAGCCTACTTATAATACCTTTAAATCATTCATTGTCACGATGTCACTGAACGCATTCACTTACAACACCCTTCCAGTCTTCGATCAACCGAATACTGATTACCAAAATTATCCAACGCCAATTAACAGGCATCGACAAGAATACACCTTTCATTCGACACATTTCCGAATTATCGACAGACTCCCCCCCCACGCACACACAAACACACACGAAAAGCACCTCCATCAGAAGGTTCTGCGTTAAAACTGTTATTAACGTTCTCCTCGAAAGAAAGAGCTGATCCTTTCAGCGGGAAACTGTTGTCTCGCGAAATTCCTCATTGCTTATTTCCAACGAATACCATATCGCCCACGCGACCGTGGCCAACGTGACGCCGTAATTATCATTAAATCTCGTCCCGTTAATTTATAGATGACGATTAAGATGACATTGTTTCCACCGTCACGTCGTTTTACTCGCAAGGCGTGGCCACATCTACCCCCAGCCCTCCCTCCCCCCCTCCCATTGTGCTTCGACAATTATAACCGTACCATTTATTCCGCGAACGGAGCCTGCTAACCGTTTCTTTCACCAGGTGGCCGCCGCCGCGCCGTCCGAAGAAGAATTAATAATTAATTTTACCGCGAACCGCGGGCCCGGTATTGTCGTCGAGTAACGAGCAACCACTTCATTCAATCTTACACGTTCGTTAAGACCTACATCTTGGTCGCGACTTCGTAGAAAAAAAAAACGGCGCCTGCCCACCCCCTTCCCACCCCCTCCTCCTCGATCCCTGATTCAACGGGGTGAACAAGGATCGCGTTGAAGCCCAGTGGAGGCCGAGTCGTTAACCTCGGGGCAGATCTAGACGGCGAAATTTACAATGAAAGTGACCTGAACGTTTTGAAACCGACCGTCCTAGCCCGGTGTGCACGCCCTCGCGATTCCTTTCTAGAGAGCTCCTTGCCAGCCGCGAGTCGCGACCAAGAAAGACCTCGAGAAACCAATTAAAATCTGCGCCGACGACAGAAACGTTTGAACACAGCTTTGTGTTCGAGCCGGGTGAAATGAAATTTCATCGTTCTTGATCTGTTTTTTTTTCGGGAAGTGGGAATTAATCGAGGGAATCGTGCTGGAAAGACTGTATTGCAATTTGAACGGCGATCGTAAGAGATTGTGAACCAGGTGTTTTGGTCATTCTGCTGTCCAACATCTTATTACTAACTTTGGAGGTGTAAACACAGAGAAGATTGTTTTTTATTTTAAAATTGCACAGAATCGGTTCAATTCTATTACACAGTAAATGCTCGATGAGTGTTCAAAGGCTTCTCTTTTAATGAGCTTCTTTCTTTTTAATGAGGTTTAGCACAGCGATACAGCTTAGAATTCGGAAGCCAATGATATTAGTTTCTGTTATTTTATTTTCACTGCCGAGGAGCCTTCGAACAGATGGTTCACTGCAGTTGGTGGGAAATGAATGACAAATTGCCATCGACATCTGCAAAGTATTATAATTCTACAGAATTTATGCTATCCACTACAATTAATTTTAATTCCACAGACTCTAATCCCTAGCACTCCTCGATACAACTAATGAAATTCTACAAAATAATAGTTACAGTAAGCACAATACTAACGTTCATATACTCAAAGGACCATTTACTTCCCACGAGTCTAATATCAGTACAGATTCCTCCATCAAATGAATAGGAAACTGTAAATGCACACAGTAATTCAATCAAGAAAAATCTTCGATATCTACCACAGCTTCGATAGGTCCCGCCATCGCGTCCTCTTGCCACACGAATGGCACTCGTCCGTAAAACCAGACAGGACTAACGACACACGTCGCCGATGCGCCGTAATAACGCATTGATCGGCAATCACCGGTGATTGCGTTTCAATCCACGGACGAGTCCTGAACCCGGGGACGACCCTCCGCGTCAGGAACGTCGAAGTAAATTAATAGGCGTATCGTCGTCCCAGCGTGAAACGAGCACTTAACGTGCCACTTACGGCTATCGGTTAGCAGAGAGCCACTCAAGATCGTGTTACCGAAAATCGACGGGCCCTGTGCACCTTTGTCGCGTGTGCACACGCGCGAAAACGTCATTGTATACTGGGTGGTTTTCGGGGCCGTTTTCCCGAGGAAAACACGGGTCAGACCGCAGCTGACCCCCTCCCCCGGTTCTTCACGCCCTTTGTACTGTGCTAACCGAATTTCGGAACAAACAAACGTCTGTTTGCGTTCTGTGGAATCGTAGGCTCTAGGTAGCTGGACATTAATTATCAGGAGAAATGCGTGATTACCACGTGAAGACGATGGAGGATACGAAAAATCAACTGGACGATATTCCCGGTCCCAGTTTGTCAACGTCAGTCAGATGAGACGGAGAGAAAGAATAAGGGAAAGAAAGAAGGGTAGCCTCCGCCTCTCCGGGGTGACTGCACTGTGGGAATTGAATATTTTTGTCCGAATAATCCCCAACGTTATGAATAATTAGTGGTATAATGAGTTGAGTGTTGGGCAGACCTGCAATGTCTCACCAAAACACAAAGAGCCTCGACAAAACGTAAAAATGGCCGCGGTTGGGCAAACTGTTCTCAACCTGCACGGAGTAACCCCCTCATCGGTCTTGGTCTCGTGAGAATCCGATCCTTTAAACAGTCTCCTGAATACACTGATTGGAAAAAATTGTTAGCAATCTTGAAGAATACTATTTTCAATGTACATTCACCATCTCTAATTCTTGTTTTTTCTATGAAAATACTAGATCTCATATTGAGTAAAAACCACCCAGTTTATATTCTGCAAGAGTAACCATTTATTACCCTTTAAAACTTATTCGCTCTACTTGCAATAATTATCGTCTAAGAAAAATTCTGTAGTTTCAGTTGCTACATCTAAATTTTCTCGGTTAATGTTTGATATTCTCATATTCGACTCCCTTTTCTTCCAATGAAGGGTGAAGGTAACAACGACGAGCCTTTCGGTCGATCGATGTCACAATAGGGTATCAAAATCGATTTTTCTTTTTTTTTTTGTTGAAGCAAGCGAATCAGTACGACGGCGTCGCGATCTCGTGATCACCGTGGACTACTCCTCGTTCCGGTGGAACGAATTTTGAGAACGATTTTCGGGTGTCGGGTTCCCGGTGCAGCACAAAGGATCTGCCCTTCCATTCAAACGTCACTCTGGCACCTCGTCTTACAGCGGAGCATTTTATTTGGCGCACTTCATTCGTCCCTTTTTGTCTTAAATCGTGGCCAGACTTAAAGACGAGAGCCCAGAGACGAATGCCCCAACTGCTCGATTCCGTTCTGATAATAAATTATATATCGATCGTCGTGGGATCGATTGCGCGTCGTCCAGCTGAAAATTCGACGGATCCGGTATGATTGAACGGGGTGGCACCGGGGGTTGTCTGGCTCGCTCGTCGATCTCGGGATCTTTTGTTTCTCGCGAATAATGGGCCCTCTTGCGCCGAAATTCGGGCCAAGAAGCCTGGAACGTGTTTGCACACTTCACCGGGGATCGCAAATTTTCTGGCTAATTAACGCTCGGTCTGCAAAATGTTAAGTAAGCCCCTTAAAATAGAGGACCATTGGAATATTCACGAAGCTCGGTCTTGAAAAAACATGCACGGAAATTAACCCTCTGATGCTTGAAAATAAAGTTCCAGCGACACACATTTGTCACCCTTTCACCGTGCAGTACTTTATTTATCTTTAGAGACTTTATTCCGAGCATTTTGTAACTTGTTTTTACTTTTAATGGAGGAAATTAGTTTGCCTTTAACCTCAGTTTACAACAAATTAGTTTAAAAAGTTGCGAACATGCGTGAATATGCGTGACACGTTTCTGGTAGTAATGCAGCTGACAAATATAAAGCTTTCCTTGGTAATCTACTTGCCTGAAAATCTACATCGTCCAAAGTCAGTGTGAAATATTCGATTCCAAACTCCATCTATTTCTTTCCTATCCATTCAGAAGAGTCTTCAACGACCACTAGAGAATCATAAAACGACTTTCAAATCGGAGATCTTCAATTGAATCTCAACTAGAAAAAA